GAATAGTGGTTTCAGCCATAGATATCCATAATAAAGGCTAGATGTCTTACGGCGGAGTCTCAAACGGCATCACCGGGCGGCCATCTTACCACAGGCAGGCTTTCTGGTGTGCTCTGTGGTACTTAATGTAAGGTGAGTGATCAGCACGAACACAAATACTCTTATCTCATTGAATTCTTGACGGATTTACAAACAGTTTGGTTTATATATATATATACTATATATATATATATATATTTATATTATTTATTTATTTCTTTTTTGCAGCTGTTCAGACATCACCGCCACCAGAGAATCAATCTGCAAGATGCAAGCAAAGTTTGTTGAAAATATATAAGTCATTTGTGACATTACAACTTTTATTTTCTGTTGCTTTATTAATGACACACAAACTACGAGTCTGGGAACAAACATTCTAGTTTTCAATTTAAGAAAACAAATTTTTAATTATTATCTGTGTACTATCTTCTAAAATAAGTTATTTTACAAAAACTTAAAAAATATTTTAGTACACTTCTTATTAAATCAGCTAAATTAAATGAAACCCACCAGGATACATTTCTTTAAGACTATCCCAGCATGTATTAAAAAAACTTTTTAATTAAATTCTAACTATGTAGAAGTTTAATTATGATGAGTCTTTTAAAAATATCAGAATCGCATTCTTTCCTTCTTTCTTTTAAATCAAAAGGGCGCCCTGCAAGAAAAGTCCATCATAGTTAGTTTAACCAAAAAATTAGGGCCAGCTGCAACATGTATGCTTTGTGTCAGCAAAGAGGCATTTTACAGCCTTCTGTTCAGCCATCAAAACATATTACTGTTTAAGGATGTGTTTACACCTTGAAGTTTTCTCTCTCCGGTTCATTTTTCTGAAAAGAGATCACTCGGGACAAACTCTTTAACACTTCATAAGGTATATGTGTTAAATAACCAGGAGACATGACAAACAGATTTTGATAGAAACTGTAATCTTACTCAGATCAGAGAAATTGCTACTGTTACAGAAGGCAGCTGCTTACCAACCGGGCTCACTTCTCAGGAAACCGCCCCGACAAAAAGTTAAAGAAGTATTTTATACATCTCCAGTCTGCCATATCATCACATTTTACACGTTAGCAGATGAGGAGACATCCATGGCAGTTATAGTGCACTAACATGGCAGATGGTTGCCATGACAACACAGCAGTTCCTCCTACACAGTAGCTGGTGCTATTTAGGAGGAAAGAGTACAAGAAAAGTACTCAAGTAAATTTAGTTAAACTTTAGCTCGAATACAATTAGGTTCATAAAATAAAATGTTTAACTTAGTTGCATTTTTGTGAGCAGATGATCTCTAATCGTTTCAGGAAGGAAAAGATGAGATTTTGCATTTTCTCTGAACTTCAGGTCCCTTCCACAGTCTAAATACATTACTGTTGGATGGGTTAATTGGTTACTTTAAACTCACCATAGGTTGTAGCCAGATGTGCTTCCAAGTTGTCCTAAATTTAGATATTCAGAATTTAATCCCTAACAGATTTTTTTGTTTGACAATCTGTGGTTTTAAACAACAAACCACATTAAATCAACCTAATTCAATGCAACTTTGGTCTGATTGAATACCTAAAGGAAAGTAAACAATTACATATTTGATAATTTTATGAAAATACAAACCATGTGTCTCAGCAGGTTAACATTTCAAATGAATCTGAAATTATTTGATCATGGGGAAAAAAAAGCATTTGCATAATCTTAATCTTAAGGTTTAACACCAGTTAGATGTTCAATAGTCATTTTTTCTTAAAATAAAGAAAACTCTTGTAATAACCAGACTCCTGTATTGAACCATAAATGTTTAAGAGTCAAATATTTTTTACAAAATATTCTAATGCATAAACAAAATACTATCAATTTGTTAATTAATAAACATAATTAAGTCAGAAAACTGGAGTTAAAGCCAATGGCGGCTTAGGCTAAAATGAAATAAACTCAGTTTAATCTGCTGATGCCGTATGAGTGGAAGGATGACTGGAGTCAGTGGATACAAAACCTGATA